ATGATTTCATTTTGGTCTCAAACTGTTGAAAAAAAGATAGTAAGCTTCTTATTTGAAAAATAATCAAAGCCTAGAAAGTAATATATCCAGCTCTGTTTCTTAGATAATAATACTAATAAAATTTATTGACCAAGCCACTTGCTTGCATTTTTAATCTCTGTGTTAAAGAATGATGTTTGTTCTGGGGCATCTTTTTGGAATTGTGGTGAAAATCAAACTAGCCATAGATCTCCCTTTCTGAATTGAAGCCTTCCTTTACAAAAGCAAAAGACAATTTTGCATACTTAGAAAAGTAGAAAGCCAAATGTTTAAATCGTCCTTTGTGATTTAAGAGAAGGTGTGTTTCTTCTCTTACTGCAGTAGCTAATGGCATGGATTTCTAAGAGCATCTTTCAAAAGATGGCAGAATATTCTTGTTGAAAATAATAGATAGCAAATGTTTGTAAATTCCATTTTGTTTACTTCATGAACTCGAAAACCTTATAAAACAAAGCCTACAAAGCTCTTGGAAATTACTCAGAAACTTCAGTTTTCATTTTAAGTTACCTTCACTGAAATTATTTGTACATCTTCATGGAAAAGAACATTGACAAAAGAATAGGATGTAATAAGCTCTTGGTTATATATTGTTAAGACAAAAAAGACACCTATTTTATATGTTGAGGCTATCTTTGATCAGCCAAATGAAATCTACGAATTGTAGTTACAATAAATTGCAGCAATACAGGCTGCAGGAAAATGGTAATCGGTGATATTTTTTTAGTTTTACATACCAAAATATCTACAGTTATGAGAAGCTGTCAGTGTGGTGATTTCTTTTTTTCTTGGTTTGTTATATTCCCCACCACCACCCCTTAAATGTTGACTTAAAACAAACCTTGAAAGCTAACCTCAGTTGTTTGGCAGTTACCATAAACAGAGGCCTTCCCGTTCAGGGCTTGGCTACTAACTCCAGTGACCTGGCCCTGTCACAATATTAGAATGTTCTTTAGAGCAGTTAAATAACTCTGACACACTTACCATGTACTGGATGCTGATAATTTTAGCCAAACAAGTACAGCATTGGAACCTGAAATAAAATTCAGTATCCTTTTAAAAATTTGTATATTGGTTTAATTATTGAGTTCTTCCAGGAAATTAGAAGCCAGTTTAAGGTGGCATTTTTCATTTCAGTAGGTTTCCAGAGATTATTTTAAAAGGCAAGGTACATTAAATGTATTTCTAAGACAAGTTTACTAAAAACTATTTTTAAAGGATTCCAAAATCCGTAATTTAAGTAGAAAATTCTCCCTACTCAGTTAAGATCTTGGAATTCACAGTGACACCTACTGGTAATTATTGGGAAAAACCTTACAAGCCTGCCTTTTTTTATTTTCGGTTCTCCTAATCAATGGTCTAGTATGAATTACTTTAAAGGCTTATTAGAATTTTCCATTTTTGAAAAATCTACTTTTAACAATAATCTGTTAAAATCCTCTCTCCTTGTGTGCCAGAGTTAGTATTCATCTGGTATAGATGTCAAGCTCACATAAGACTATTTAATATACTATAATAAAGTATGTTGTATCTGAAGGTAGAAACTGAGTGCAAAATTTGAAATTTTCACAAATGTAGTAGTTTTGATGGAATAATTATTTTTATTATAAAAAATTATGTCTTCTTTAAGTCTTTAAGTATTAAAATGGAGATACCTGTCACTAGATGTGACACAGTGGTAAGTGTTTTCATGTGAAGTTTAGAAAATTTCAGACTTTTTGTGTGAAAAAAATTATATGTAGAATTTTTTAATAAAAGGCAAAATTCAGTGTAAAATGTTCCAAATTAATTGCTATAGGACTTGTAAGACTTTATTATTTGTCAATAAAGGGATCTGCAAAATTAGAAAAAGCTGAAATATTACAAATGACAGTGGATCATTTGAAGATGCTTCAGGCAACAGGAGGTAAAGGTAAGAAGGAAACTTCGTTTTTCCCCTTTGCATCTTTTTCCCCTGATATGTAAGGAAGTCATAGCTGAACAGTTCTTTAACAAGCTGAGATAAGAGGTCCCAGATTAAAGCTGTGGAAATCAATGCTAATGGCAGGATTGAACTCATGGGAAAGAACTTGTGGAACAAAAGAAGCTCTTGACCCTGGGCTTGTGTTTGCTTTCATAATACTATGGGAGTAAAGCTTCATTCATGGCAGGCTGGTTAGAGATTCAGAGATTTGTTTGGGACTTCAGGAAAGCATGCTGGAATCTGTACAGAAAAACAAAACAAATACACAAACATCCAAATATAAACAGAAGGTTAGATCCAATATTTTTCTTATCCTCCTCTTCCTGCTTTTTTCCCACTAAATTGGGTCTAGAACTCAATGTAAGGGCTATTCCAAAGGAAGTGACCCTGTAATTATTTTCATTGTTTTCAGATGTTAGGTTTTCTTGGATTCAAATCATGTAGAACATAAGAAATGTAGGTAATGCATCTATGGATTAGAAATCATCAATGGAGCAGAGTCACTCCTAGGGAGAGAAAACCAGAGCAGGTGCCCTGGGTGATATCCTTTCTATGGGATAGAAACTTAGGGAGGAATTGTCAAGGGCCTCAGGGAGGAACTCTCACCTCCTGACAAAAATGAACATGAAATCCTGAAATTCACGTATCAGCCAATTTCCCCAAACATCACTCAGACTAGACTTTGCCTTTTGTATCCTTTGGTATTCATCATAGCCAAGGGGATTATTCAATATCTTCAAGAACAGGGCAAAAAGAAGGCTCCACAAGGAAGTAAGTGCTGCGACTGAATCCTAGGGCCTCTCTCTGCTCAGCATCGTTTTAGTACCTGGTATCTAGGTTCTCTGGGTGCCACAAGTGATTTGCACTCAACTAATAGCCTACAAAAAAGGTTGGCAGTTAGAACTTACCCAACAGCACCACATAAGAAAGGCCTGGAGATCTGCTCCATAAAGATTGTTGTTATTAGGTGCCGTGGAATTGATTCTGATTCATTGTGACCACCCCTGTGTGACAGATTATAGCCACTAAAAACCCTATGGAGCAGTTCTACTCTGTAACTCATGGAATCACGATGATATTGGAGAGCAACGACTTGTTTATCAATTGGTATGAAATATTTCATATTTAACTCTGATAGGGCCGTACTAAGAAGCTCTGGTGGTACAGTTGTTAAGCACTTGGCTAACTGAAAAGTCAGTGGTTTGAATCTACCAACAGCTCCACAGGAGAGAGACCTGGCAATCTACTCCTGTAGAGCTTACAGCCTAGGAAACCCTATGGGACAGGTCTACTCTGCCACATGGGGTCACTGTGAGTCAAACTGACTCCATGGCAACAACAACATCAACATGTGAGGACCTGTAGAACATCAGCCCTGACCTTAACTCTCTGTTGCTCTTGTCAGTCTGGGGGTGATCTGTGTACATGGAAGCCCACATGATGAGACCTGCCCCAGGTTGTCCCTTCTCAAGGAATCTTCCTGAAAGGATAAGGAGTAAGGATAGAGTTGTGATTTCTGCTTGTTGAAATAAAATAGCCCAAGGCACAGGCTGCAAACATTCTCACATTGTAGAGAAAAGAACTGGATAGTTGGAAGCAGTGACCCAGCCTAGCTTGGCCCCTGCCTCAGCTTGACCTTGGCAGAAGTTCTCTATAGCATCTTGGGGCCTACATGAGTACTGTGAACTCCAAAGCCCCTCCAACCCCTTGATTCTGTGTCCACAACTACTATCTGAGGATATTAGGAGACTGAAGACAGTAACGATGGTGCAAGATAAGTTGTTTTCTCTACCTCTCTTGCTGTTATTAGCGACAAGGCTTCAAATATTGGGCATGAGCTGCAATATTATTGTTATGCTTTAGTGTAAAAACAGTTTCATCTTGCTTGCTATTCTTGGCTACCTGAACAGACCTAAAATTCACCCCAGAATAGTTTACAGATGGACATTTCTAAGCAGCCTCCATCTAAGTCATCTGACTGCTGAGCCATTAGAGAGGTCATCATGTAGGAGGGTGTGTTGGCCTTAAAAGACAGGGGCTGGCAGTTTGGGGCTTATGCTGTTAGAGCTTAGATGAGAGGCACAGCTCCTGCAGTTGCCTGATTTCAAATCCTGTCTCTGTCATTTATTAGTTCTGTGACCTTGGGTAAATGACTAACCCCCTCTGAGGTCCTGTTTCATCATCTGTAAAATGAGGACAATAATAGTGTCCATTTCACAAGGTGGTTGTGAGTTAATTCACCTAAAGCCCCGTGAGCTGTACTGGCACAGAAAGTGGCATGGACATGTGTGTTATAATTGTCATCCCAAGATCCATTTGTAGGAAGCAGCTATTGTAATTTCTGTCTGCATTTAGCAATAAGAGAGCATTTACATAATTTATATTTCTTAGGAGCTGTGGTATACAGTGGTTAAGTGCTCGGCTGTTAACTGAAAGGCTGGCTGTTCTTACCCACCCAGTAGTTCCATGGAGAAATACATGGCAATCTGCTGCTTAAGGATCACAGCCTAGAAGACCCTGTGGGCAATGCTACTCTGCCACATGGGGTTGCTGTGAACCGAAAGTGATTTGACGGTACCTAACAACATCAACATATTCCTTAGATGCAACAGAGGTCTCAGTCATACACAGAATTACATAATTAGCAGACCACAAATTTGCCTGCCTTTGTGACCACACATAAATACTCTTGGAGGCTTCTGGGGTTCCAGTTCTGTTAGTCTACTCTCTGTGATCTATCTTGGCATTATAATCAGTTCTAGGGAGAATTTAGTAGAGTTCTGGTAGCGTAGTGCCTAAGGCACTTGACTGCTAACCAGAAGGCTGGAGGTTCAAACCCACCAGCCACTCCTCAGAAAGAAGGTTGGGCAATCTACTTCTGTAGTGATACTGCTTTGGAAACCCAAGGAGGATTCTCTATGAGTCAGGTCTGACTCGATGGCACATAACAACAACTTAAATTGCTAACCCCTCTCCATTTCTGGACTCTGTCCACTCTGATGATTACTTCTCTCCTTCTGACCTGGAAGCCAGAAGCCTTCATGGCACTGATGACTTCTCATGTGAAATGCTTTCTGTGGAGGCATCTTCTTCAGGTGTAGCTTTCCCTCCTAATCCCAGGGGCTTTGTTTGCTAACTTGGCCAAATTCATGGGATGACAGCTATTTTTCTTGCCTCTTCCACATTCATGATATTCTTTTCTATCAGCCTGTGGTTGTTACTGCTTTGATGGCATATATTTTTTACCCCAGACATCTTTTGGGGACTTCAATCTATGTGACTACTTTTTCCGTAATATGTGATTACAAAATGAAATAATTTATTTTTTAATAGTTTAAAGGTTTTTAAATAGATGATAAATGCAAAAACATAAAAAGATAATGTAGCAAATACCTTCTGTGAAAATCACCTTCTTTGAAAGTGACACTTTCCATTTATGTATATACGCATCCCAAAGTGAGTAGACTAAACTTTCAATTTGAAAATTTCTATTAAAAAAGTAGCAAATGAGAAAGAAATCTGAAAAGTCATTTATACATAATGAAGAACACATTCAGAGTGGTGACATTTTGTTGAATGTCTGATTATTATGGTGCTCTGTATTGACACTATAATTATCAGACATTTTTATTTTCTATTCAGATGTTTTGAATGGGATAAAAAGAGCTGCTAAGATGACACATGTGACACAGTTCCAGCCATTTCTATGGTTTTAAAACTATAGGTGTGGGAGGTGTGTGCATAGACAGTGATACAATTAATAGACACTTTCTTGGGTGAACGCTGGAAAAAAGTAATTTAAACAATGAAGGACAGAAATATTGAACTTGAGGAAATTTAGGAGTTACAGTATAATAATTGCACATGGCAGGCAAGGACATTGGTGGTTCAGTAGAATTCTCACCTTCCATGCAGGAGACTTGGTTTTGATACCCAGCCAATATGCTTCAAGCACAGCCAGCACTTGTCTTTTACTGGAGGTGTGCATGTTGCGATGATGCTGAAAAGGTTTCAGCGGAGCTTCCAGATTAAGACAGACTAGGAATAAAGACCTGGTGATTTACTTCCGAAAAAACAGCCACCATGAATGACAGCGGGAGCTCTGGTAGCATAGTGCCTACGGCACTTGACTGCTAACCAGGAGGCTGGCGGTTCAAATCCACCAGCCACTCCTTGGAAGGAAGATGGGGCAATCTACTTCCATAGTGATACTGCCTCGGAACCCCAAGGAGGGGTCGCTATGAGTCGTGTCTGACTCGACGGCACATAACAACAACAACAACATGAATGACAGCGGTCTGGTCTCAGTGCAGTGAGCTGGAGGCCAACTCAGCAGCAGCTGTCAACAACAACAAAAAAAATCTCATATCAGAGTCCCTTGGTGGCATGACAGTTAATGCTCTCAGTTGCTAACCACAAGGTTGATAGTTCAAGCCCACATAGAGGCACTTCAGAAAAATAAAAGGCCTGGTGATCTATTTCCGAAAATCAGCCATTTTAAACCCTATAGAGCACAGTTCTGCTGTGACACACATGGGTTCACCATGCGTTAGAATCGACTCTAGGGCAGATGGTTTAATTTCGTATCAGTAAGCAGCCTCATGTTGCTTGAAAGAAAATTATATGTTCCACATCTTCAAATTAGTAATCAAATTAAAAAAAAAAATCTTCGTTTTGTTTTCATTAATTATTTTTCATAAAAAGTAATGACAAGATGTTTTCACTTATAAAAAATCCTTGTTTCTCAAACAGCATTTATGAATTTATTACAAGATGAGATTCCAGCATGTTTCCAAAGAAAGTCCTCAAGCTGTTAAAATGCACTTCATGTTTCTGTTATAAATGCCAAGAGAATGAGGATATTTCAGATAAGCCCTTTAATCTCCAACTCATGTGACAGAGACAGAGAGACTGGGACTCTGTATTACCATGGAAAAGCTTGCTGGAGAATGTCACTATCCCACATTACAAGAAGCACCTTTTTTTTTAATTTCTGGAAGTGTTTGAAAGAGATGGATGTTCTTAATTTTTTCTCCCGCATGATACTTGGTTGCAAGAGCAACTGTAGCATATTGTATTGCTAGAGTTGTCACACATGTAAATTGCAAAGTATACTTTATAAACTTCTGCAATAATTAAAACCATAAATAGCTTGCAAACTTTTCAGAAAGTATCAAATTCTACTCAGATCTTAAGGACAGAGTAGAACATTAGTTGTTTATTAGTACTGATTGCATCATTTTCTCTCTCTTCTTACCTCTCTCTCTTTCTCAATCTCTCGTTTCCCCTTTTTTGCACAAATATCCTTTTAGGCTACTTTGACGCCCATGCTCTTGCCATGGACTTCATGAGCATTGGATTCCGAGAGTGCCTTACAGAGGTAGCAAGATATCTGAGCTCGGTGGAAGGTCTGGACTCGTCGGACCCATTGCGCATGCGACTTGTCTCTCATCTCAGCACTTGCGCCTCCCAACGGGAGGCAGCGGCAATGACATCCTCCATGGCCCACCACCATCACCCCCTACATCCTCATCACTGGGCGGCTGCCTTCCACCATCTTCCTGCGGCCCTGCTCCAACCAAACGGACTCCATGCCTCAGAGTCAACCCCTTGTCGCCTCTCCACGACTGCAGAAGTGCCTCCTGTCCACGGCTCTGCTCTCCTCACCGCCACGTTTGCCCATGCCGATTCTGCCCTTCGAATGCCGTCGACAGGCAGTGTGGCCCCATGTGTGCCACCTCTCTCCACTTCTCTCTTGTCCCTCTCGGCCACTGTCCACGCTGCCGCAGCAGCAGCCACGGCAGCTGCTCACAGCTTCCCTCTGTCCTTCGCAGGAGCCTTCCCCATGCTTCCCCCAAACGCAGCTGCAGCAGTGGCAGCCACGACAGCCATCAGCCCGCCCTTATCGGTATCAGCCACATCCAGTCCTCAGCAGACAGGCAGTGGAACAAATAAACCTTACCGACCCTGGGGGACAGAAGTTGGAGCTTTTTAAGTTTTCAAGGAAGCTATTCATTGAACTTCTTGCGATAGTAATTGAATGTCCTTCATTTCAGAGTTTGCTTAAAACCTCTGTGCCCAGAAGGTAGCCATGCAAATACCTACAGATCCACAAAGGAACAATAAAGCTATTTGAGACACAGACCTCACAAGTGGAAATGTGGTATTATCTTTTTTCCTGTCTCTCTCCCTCTCTCTCTCTTTAAGGCAGCTTGCTAACTGACATCAGCAACTTTGGAAAACTTCCTTATTGTTTCCACTTAGACAGTTTCCTGCAATATATATGGGCAATACCATGCAGCAGTTCATCAGAATTGTGCACGAGAAACGCTCTGACTCTTGAAATTGGATGAAAACAAAAGTTTCATAAGTGCCTGAGCTAGTAAAGTTTTATTCTGAACATACTATATTGCACAAGTAAAGAATATAAGAGATTGGGTTAAGAAAGGAAAGGGACAAAACTCTTGCACTAGACTGCAGACATTTAATACAGTTCCAGAGAAGATTATTCTGTGGAAGCCAACAGGTTTTTATTGGCCAAAAGGATTGCGAGAAATAATTTTCAAGTTGAACGACCTAGTTTTACCTTACCTAGTTTACTTTCTTTGTACAGACTTGCCAAGTGTGACTGACATTCAGCAATACATTGGTGTAAGCAATTATCCCATCAGTGCTTGAATTAACAAGCATTTCTGCTCTGCCTACAAGACCCCAGGCACTTCCCCACCCCCAACCCCTTGGCTCAAAATATGGTGCTGCTTTTTATCAGGACAAACCATACACTTACATAGTGCACCTAGAAGCAACTGGCTATCTTGTGCCCACTTGAGATTATTTGATTAATGCCAACCTGAAAAATCTCCAGTTTATAAGAGTTTGGATTAATTTATTTAATGTCCCTTGGACAATTTTTATATGTTTATCCTCTTCATTTCCTCATGATACCAGATAAAATCTATCCTTGTCACCTTTTGGGAGAAGTTGTGTTTCTGGAGTGGGATGAGACAGGGAGAGAGCATTGAGAACAGAAAAGCCGATTCTTAAGTGATCTTTATCAACTTGGATTGCATTTGATCCCAAAATCAAGATGAATGTATGTATTCAATGGGTGTACATAAATTATTTTGTCCATGCCTAGATTAGTGCTACATAATGGCGTTTTGGTTTTGTTTCTTGCTTTTGTTTTATGACCTAAAGTAATCTCTTAATACATTGAAGTCGAACACGTAAGATTTTATGTTTGAAAGATAATGACACAGCATGTATTATTATGCACTTCATTTCTCTGCTGTGTGGAGAAAGCAATAAACTTATGAGCCTGTTAAACATTATGCAAAATTATACTTTTAAATATTTGTTTTAAAATTACTGTGCCCAGTCCTTTTTTTACATTACTTTGTAACATTTTCTATGCAAAATCCTTACATATCACTAATTAAATGAAGTCCTTTTTGACTCTTTATGTGGATGAGTTGCTTTGCAGAATGGAAAGTTTATGTGGGGGTCTTCATTTACTAACTAAGCCATGGGTTTTCTTTTGCTTTCAAAGTCAGTTGGCTGACATAATTCACAGCACACTTGAAAACAGCATTTTTCTGAGCTGGTAAATCAATTAAGCATAAGCGGATATGACGTTATTCAGAGGCAGGAAGTGATCCATTTCCTCTGCCTTTTATTTTAACTCTGGTTCTTGGAAAAGTGCAAATACAAGACTTCAAAAGAGCCTATACTGAATATCGGATAATCATTTAGACTGTGTCATTTGTAACTCAGAAATTTGTAGATGGTTTGTAAAACATAAGTTGCATACGTGATAGGCATATGTATACTTACACATGACAGATCCTCTGTACCTCAATGAAAATACCTTTTGTGGCTGTGGAAATGTGAGTGTCCCTCCTTTCTTCAGTAAAGCCTAAATGAAGCTATTGCAGGGTACCTGAAGCTGTTGAGCCAAACAACATAAGAATAGAAAATACTGTTTTTAGTATGCATATCCAGAGCTCTGGTAGCATAGTGCCTGAGGCACTTGACTGCTAACCAGAAGGCTGGCGGTTCAAACCCACCAGCCACTCCTCAGAAGGAAGATCTGGCAATCTACTTCCGTAGTGATACTGCCTGGGAAACCCAAGGAGGGGTCGCTATGAGTCGATCTGACTCGACGGCACATAACAGCAACAACAGTAAACATATTGACACTCAGAGGGGAAAGTGAGAAGGCTTCTACATTTTAATTTTGAAAAATAAGTGGGTAGCTTATCTGATTTGTTCTGTCTGTAAGCGAGTTGGATTCACATAAATAGATGTGCAAAAGCACACCACCTCATTTTCCCTGTATGTGAGTCCTGTGGTGATTAGATAACAAAGAAATGAAGTTGGTAGTATTTGGAGTTTGCTTTTTAAGCATTATTTATGGGAAAATAGGCATGAAATTAATCTTTATTGTAAGATCTTTGATACTGTGCCTATTATAATTTCAACCCTTTTTAAAATGTAAACTGTTTTAGAGAGCAGAAATGTTTTAAAAATTATGGTCAAATATTTAAGATTTATCCCCTTCCTCTTTCCCTCCTTCTCTTCCTTTTTGTTTGTTTGCTTGTTTTTATATAGTTTCTTTGTTCCCAATTATATACAAGTTATGGTTTTTCAATTTAATTAGTTAGAATGTTTGCAAACCAACTTGTTCCCTAATCATGAAGGGCTGTCACCACCTAAAGGTAATCATTGTCAGTAATTTCATTGTCAATAGTTTCAGTCTTTTGAAATTAATCCATGTGTCATATAGTCAGCTTTTAACTCCATATTTCACCGTGTTTATATGAAATTTACCATTGGGTTTTCCATCACCAGGTGTTTTATGAGGGGGGTGTTCCATCTTTTAGGTGTGGTAATTTTCATATTTTCTACTAAAATAGAAAAGGGCTTATGCTTTTTAAAATTAGTTTAATGGTTCAAGGTAAAGAAAACTTACGCTTTTATTTATTGGTGGCTTTAATTTGTGTGAAAATTAAATGGAAAAAGGGGGCATTTTTAGAATTTTGCTTTTCTCCAAATGTTAAAAACTGTATCTATTCCTCATTAGAACACAGTTTTGTATTTCATACTGTTGTGGGCTGTCGAGTTGAATCTGACTCATAGCCCTATAAGAGAGGGACTGCCCCTTAGGGTTTTCTAGGCTGTAATCTTTCAGGGAGCAGATCACCAGGTCTTTTACCCCTCAAAGTGACTGATGGGTTTTAACCACCAAATTTTGGATTAGCAGCAGAGAGCGTAACCATTGCACTCCATTTCGTGTTAGTGAACCTAAACCAAAAAAACAAATCCACTGCTGTCGAGTGGATTCCGACTGATAGTGACCACTCACTGGGTTTCTGAAGCTGTAAATCTTTAGGGAAGTAGATTGCCCAGTCTTCCTTATGTGGAGTAGCTGGTGGGTTTGAACCACCAACCTTCTGGTTAACAGTCAAATGTCTTAGGCACTATGCCACCAGAAAGAAGGAGATGCACTGAGAAAGAGGAATAGAATTTTCTGGGAGCTGGTAAGGAAAGCTGTTTGCTCTTATTTGATCTTTTTGCTACTAAAATCATAGTATTTCCTATTATCTTTGAAGACATCTGAGGAACTTTCAAAGTATCTATGTAACATTGAAACATTCGGAAAAGTTCAAATTTTAACTCTAAGATCCATGTGTATTATTTAACCTTAAGAAAGCCTTTTTGATTGTTTTATGTATTTAACTTGTTCCTTTTGCCAGTTGTTCAAAAAAAAAATCTGAAGAGTTATTACCTTAAGGAAAGGTAATATTACCTTAAGCAAATCACAAAGCAGTATGATTTTAAAAACAAACCAAACCGAACTCGCTGCTGTGGAGTTGATTCGACTCATAGCGACCCCTCCTTGGGTTTCCAAGACCGTATCTCTACAGGAGTAGATTGCCCAATCTTCCTTCCGAGAAGTGGCGGGTGGTTTGAACTGCCGGCCTTCTGGTGAGCAGTCAAATGCCTTAGGCACTAGAACTACCATAATTTCGTAAGTGTAATGTATCATCATTTGGTTTAAAATCAGCTTTTTAAGGGAAAAAAAAAAAAAAAAACACACCACGATATAACTTTACACGCTGATCACAAGACACATCCCAATTTCTAGAATGTAAAAATCTTGAAAAAACAATGCATTTTGGATTTAAGGCAATATTATAATACAAGTGTATTCATAATGAACACCAAAATCACTGCCTTCGAATTTCGACTCATAGCGACCCCTCCGTGGGTTTCCGAGGAGATACCTCTACCGAAGTAGATTGCTGGGTCTTCCTTCCTAGGAGTGGCTTGTGAGTTTGAACTGCCAGCTTTCTGGTTAGCAGTCAAATGCCTTAAGCACTGCACCACCAGAGCTCCCAACATAATGAAAGCAAAAAAAAAAAAAAAAATCTGTAGCTTAAGATGTACCTAGTTAGATTCAAAAGTGGCTGATTTAGCTTACTTTTCAAATATTTCATTAGGATAGAATCCTGGTTTTAAAAAAAAAAAAAAGTCTGGATTGACTTCTCAAACTGAATGATTTAAAGATGTATTTTTTAAGCTTTTCATGTTTTTTCCCCCCAATGGGACTATTCCTAGTTGTTCTGCATGTTACTGAGGAATGGAGTTGCTTTACCCTTGCAGTTATTTTAATAACTAAGCAATGATTGAAGTTTTGAATATTTCAGCAACTACAACAAAACATTACAGCAAACATGACATCAAAAACTGTAAGTGTAGTTCATATTCTTTGGAAGGATGCCTTAACCTCACATAAGAGATCTTGAAAAGAAGTAAAAGCCTGTTAGCATATATAAACAAGCTTGTGTGAGGGCCTACATGTGTATTAGAAATAGTTTTGGAGCCAAAATTCCCTTTCTTCCATTGGGTGGCACTTTTTCCCACAGTCCTCTCATTTTGAACTTCAAAGGAACAGATAGGTCCTCGGCTGTAACTGAGACAGCCAGCACCTCAGGTTATTCAGATGTGATATTAACTGCTAAAAACCGTCGTGTCATTTGTTCCCTGTGCTAAGCCCTGTGCTGAATGTTGGAAATTTATTACTGCTTTTACATCTCATAATTGACCTGTAGAGTAGATAGTAGTATTACCCTAATGTTA